GAAATGAGCCAAGGATCATAATTTTCTCAGGGGAGCTCAGCAATCCAGCATTCCTCTTCTTTCAGCCATTCCTATACAGAAGAAAAAATAATTGAGTCAGTATTTTTTTTTTTTTTTGACGGTCAGAACATATTTTTTTGTTTGTTTTTACCTTAAAACAGATTGTAAGGAGCTGGTGTCAAACTCTTGCCAAAAAGACAGCTTTTGACATGTGCCAAGCATATAACATTTCAGCTCCAAAGACAAATCTTTTGGAAAGCTCATATCCCCTGTTCCTTGCTTCCCAACTCCAGGTGAGATGAAGAACCAGACATTTCAGAACATCACTGGAAGTGAAACAAAATGTCACCTGAAGCACTGTTCAGTTGCTGCTATGTAAAATCTGTGCTTACTGTTTAGTGACCCTTTCACTCTGTGCAAGCAATTCACTTGCTTGTCTGGTGAACAGACTGCAGGGTCTTACAGATGATCTCTATTTTTAGATTGTGCTTTGTAAGTAATTTACATATTCCATGTGCAGACTTCCAGGTGACTTCAAGGTTTCTGACCTGCAGCAGCTCGTGGCACTACTTGTGGTAGATAAGTGTGAATTTGTAATGGTCTCTGATGGGTGGTACAAGTTGCTGGCTTTGGCTTGCCAATATCTGTGATTGTTCCAGATTTCTAAATTAATCAAGCCAAGCCTGCAGGTCTGAAGCTGATGCTTGTTTACAGCATACGAAATGCATTATGAAATGCCTTTTGTCACCCTTCCCTGCTCAAAGGTAAACTGTAATCCACAGTGGAAATAGTCTCATCACCACTCCATCCAGAATTAACCTGGAGAAGACTTAATCCTGCTCTTACCAAATTCCGTGCGTGGCAACTTTCTGCCTCTGATTGATTGCAGTCATGCCTGACAGACCCTCTGTTTCTCCATGCACACTGGTATTGTTTCTGCCGCGTGTTCTTGTTTCCTGTTCCCTGCTGTGAGACTTGTGATTTCAACAGACAGTGTTTGCCTCTGTGCTCACGCTCTGACTGAGCAGCACCCCAGGCACACAGCGGGCTGTGAAGCCTGTTCCTGTACAAATGCTGGGGGCCAGATGCCCCAGCAATGTTCCTGCTAAGCCACAGGAAGGACCTCGCCTCCTGCATCCTTGTCTCTAGGGATGTTTAGAGCACTCTTAGTGTCAGCATATGTTAGCAAGAAGTGTGAAGGTTTGGTTGCCTGGAAGCACTGAAATGGCTTCTTTAGAACTGCTTCTTTAAAACTGCACTTTACAGATGCCCTTTGTTGAACTGTTAAGAGATCTGAATTTCTCCTGTGTTAATCTAGCAAAGAAGCTCATGGTTACCATCCATGCAGGTTTGTTATTTGGCATTCTAGCAAGCTAGTCTGGATCTGAAAAGCAGCTTAATTCACAACTGTTCCATTTTACCTGATCTTCATTTGTCCCTGGCCAGTGGAAGAAGATACTCCCATAGGCTAAATGCACAGTGAGACAACATTGGGGTGCTTGTGCAGCTCAGATCAGTGCTTCCCAGCCCTTTTTCTGGTTATCTAAGTCTGCAGTCAGTTTTGGAAGCATGACCTGAAAACATCTGTTGTTTAGAAGCTGGGACAGAAGAGCTTTCCCAATTCTGTTCTGCCTCTCCACTTTTTGGGTGGTTACCAGTGTGAATCTGTCTGTGGTGGCTGTGACTTATTTTACCTGTTACGAGGGAACAGCAAGCCACCAACTTGCTGATTACACTCAAAGAGAACTATTGCCCCTCCCCAGCCAAGGTGATCATCTCAAAGGCTCCCCAAAGGCAGTGCATGGAAGAGATCAGCTTGTGCAGAGAACACCAGATGCACTTTCTTAGGCTGTCGGGTCACATGAAGGAGAGTGGAGCTGGGCATGGGCTTGGGTGGATGCCCTCTGGAAAAAATCTGGTGGTGCTGGATGAGGCAGTGGTAGTTCAAGGGCAGGGGCTTTCCCTTCAGAGCCTGTTGCAGACCTGCACCCTGGTCAGCAGCGTTATCTTCAGGATGAGATATAAAAGTCCGAACCACTTATAAGTCAGCATTATTTTGTGCTGAGAGTCATGGTTCATGGTAAAAAAAGGACATTAAAATCTTTTCCATACCTTTAGGTGTACTCTTCATGTTACAGGACAAGGCCCACCTTTCTGCCCTGAGCAAATTCGATGTTTCATCTGGGAAGTTGGAAGCACCTTTTCCTGAGCTGAGCTTTTCAAAGGGAGGATCAGAGGTGATAACTTTCTCACCTCATCTGCAAGCAGAGATCAGTTTGGGACCTTTTGGACAAGGCTTCTCCTTAAGTTGGCACAGTGTAAAAAGAGGTCAGGTTCTCAGCTGGAGTTTTGCCAATGTCAGGTCTGGCCACACGAGTATAAAGAGAAAGAGAACAGGCTCCTGAAGGAGGGACACGTATCCTTGACCTTCCTTCCTTCACCAGTTAAAGCAATCTGCATCTCTTTGCAGGTGAACCCCCAAAAGGCCAGCTTGCCTGCTGTTCATATGAATGCATATGCACATGATGTTTGACTTCTGCACCCAAATGAGCCTCTCCTCATGTACAAAATGTCTTCAGAAAGAGCTCTGGCCATGTGCAGACTGTTAAAAGCTGGAGATCTGCACCCTTATGAACTAAGGCTTGTCTGATCTAAACAATTCACATTTCAGAAGCAAAGAGCTTTATTTATGACCAGAAAGGCTGCCCTTGCCCTCCCTTGTTGATAGTGTTGAAAGCAATCCAGGAATGAACTTTGCCTTTTGGCCAGTGCTTGGTAGTGAGGGTGAACATATCTTTTTTCTCTTTTCTTTTTTTTCCTCCTCTCCATATCTATGCAAATCCTGCCCTTTTTTTGATAATGGAACAGAATACTCAGTCTAAAAGAGGGGTTGGCCATTTTACTTTACAGTTTAACACAGTAGTAAAGTGCAGGGATATTTCAATATGAAATGAGTAAACAGCTTTGTGGCTTTGGGACACAGAATTGAAGGGCTTGGCGAATTCAGATGAAGCAATGACATTTTTTGCCTTAGGCTAAGGCAGAAAGCTCAAGCCACTAGAGGAAACCAGACCTCAGCTGGTGGGAGCTGATGCTGTTGAGTGGACTCAACACAGCTTTGCCAGTTAACACCAACTTGAGGGATAACATGGTGAGCATCAGGGGACCTGCATGTTGTACAGAGTAGGGCAGAGGCTGCAATACTTCCTACCCAGTGCTGCCAATAGGAACCAGGTCACAGCCCCACTGTTCCCTTCTGTACCACCCAACCAGAAGATGCTGGGGAAGGTGGGAAGGAGTAGCATGGGAAGAGCAAGCCAATACAAGAGCTGGATCCTCAGCTACTGTCAGTGGATTCTTTGAGCCCTGAGATGATCTGACTGCCTTACACTGATGAAATATGGCTGTGATTCTAGCACATACAGCCTGTGCCTGGTGGAAAGTGGAAAAACTCCGTGAGCTTTTCAGCCATCTAGAGACCTTTCAACTCCGCACAGAGTCTGCCAGCCATCTCCTTTAAAGAGAACCTGTGTCCCTGTGTGTCATAAATTGCTGCTGACAAAAAAGTGGTGGCAGGGACAAAAACCTGTAGTGACATTTTTCCAGGAGGGCAGGATTAGGCTTAATTAGCTGCTGGGCATAGTCCAAACACCAGACACAGGATCCCTGTATGTGGGAACTGATGTTTAAGAGCCCTCCAGTATAGCGAAGCGGGATTACTCATTTTTGTGATGGGCAGAGGAGCCAAGGTTGGACTGTGACAATTTGTTAGAGTAAGTAACTTCAGGGTGTAATTAATCTTAAAAATCCAGTTTCTGGTGTCATGAATTAGAGCAGCTCCATTCATTAAAAAGTCCTGGCTTGAAACCATTTTCCTTCATTTCAGAGGCCACAAGGTGCCCCAGTGTCTCACCCCACATTCAGTTGTGCATGGTTAACTAGAACGTCCCTTGGATCATGACAGGCATTTTTGGCACAGAAACTTCAGCAAGTCTACCACTTCCCCCACTGGATTGTTTCAAGGGATACATTATTTTCAGCTTATATACATATATATAAATATATATATATATGCACATCTCACTTAAGTAGACCTACATCCTTCAAGTCAGCAGACTTAGGCCCTATCTCTGTGTTGCATCAGACTTGGAGCACTTCTCCATGCTGGTGTCCTTTGAGTCTTACAGAGACTTGTTAACTCATAACAGTGAAAGCAACATCAGGGCTAAAGAAACCCCCCAAACAATTGCAATTCCTGTAAGAAACAAGAAAGGAAGAAGGAAAGGAAGGGCTGAATTCCAACAAACAGATACTGCAGCATGCCAGAGATCTCAGCGGTCACTTACCTGGGCGATGTGCTGGGCAGAGGGAGGTGAGAGGGTATTGGTGAGTGGAGGGCAGCCTGCTGCGTTTCATCAGCCCTGGGAGCTGAAAGTCAGTCTGTAAATTCATACAACCAGAGGTGTATCAAAAAGTCAAGATCAGAAAGTGAAGGCATCATAAATGCAAGGCCTGTATGAGTCTTGTCTGTGTGAGGATGAGGGTTAGTAGTCCCATTCTCTGCCAGCCACCATAAGACTGTTTTTTGGCAACATGACAGTGGTCCTCCCCTTTGAGCTTTCTGCATGGAGAAGAGTACCCTCCTCAGTGTGATGAACTAGCCTGGAACCCTGCTACAAACCTGGAAAAGATGGGGACTGCGAGGGGGAGCTGAATGATGCTGAGAGCGCAAGCAAGGCGAGCCTAGCTTGCAAGAAACAAAGTTGATCCTGATGCTGCCGCAGTCACTTGTTCTCATTGCCAAAGAGTCTGTCATCTGCAGTGTCTCCCACGGGACTCTGAGGAGATGGAGTTCGGCAAGGTTGGAGGCACTGGTGTCTCCTGCCAGTGCTGAACGTGCTGCTGCTGCTGTCTGCTCAGCTTCCAGCCACAGCACATTATGAACCGCGCCAGCTTCACCTGTTGTGTCCCAACACTTGCTGTGCTCTTCTTCCCTGCAGATGCCCTACCTGCTCCTGAATCCGTCCATGCCAGAGATGAGGCCTCGAATGTACCCTGTGTTTTTTGGAGAAAGCATTGAGGTCAGCCCTGAGCCCATGCAGGAAATCAGGTACAGATGGGATTGGGTGGGTGGGCGAGGATTTCTGTCTTTTTCCTGGTGATTCTCCTGCAAAAAATTGAAATGTTTTTACAAATGGGAGTCGTGGTTATTTTGATGGGAAGGGAGGGACAGGTGGGAGAGTAATGCCTGAAGTAAAGACACTGGCAGCAGCAGGGGCGGAGGGGAGGAGGCAAGACCTGGAGGGACGTTGTAGGAGAAAGATTTCCTTCCGAGGCCACCTCAAATCCAAGGCTGTGAGAGAAAACCATTACCATCTGTAGGCTTGATGGCCTCCACTAAGTAACCTGATGGTCTTCATCCTGTTCCCTGCTGACTTGTGTCCTCACAAGAAGCAACACCCTTATAATTGGCTCCTGTTTTTGTTAGCCCTTGCAGCTGAGAAACCAACATTAGACCAGCCCACAGAGACGGAATGAGCTCCTCCTCATGAGGAGATGGCCCCTCAAGCCAGTGGTGGAGGTGTTCTGACCTCCTGTGGGTCTGGTGCTGCGGCCGATGGCTAAACGTTGGTTTCTGCTCTTCTTTCACTCTTTTGCTGGTATGGAATGTACTCTGCAAACAGCATGGAGCAGTTACACGCAGCTTGGGGCAGCGACGGTGGGAGAACTGTAAACCCAGTTCCCACCCCCCTCAACCTATGCAAACGTCTCTCTGGAAATGTACCCCAGTAAATCTCAGAGGAACTGCCAGCGGGCATGTTTTTACGGTGATTACATCGGAGTCTTGTTTTATGTGTGCTGAATGACTTGCTTACACCCTAGCTGTGCAAAATACATTACAGCAGCTCAGATTACATGCAGTGCACAATCAGTCAGCCCCCCTGCGGGTGGAGGTAATGACAAGCACACACCCAGCTTTTAATCTTTTTTACGTGGAGCTGCACATTCCTTGGCTGCTGATTGCTGGAGGAGCACTTGGGGAGTGGGGAAAACAAGTGAAAGTCCTGCTGCTCCCCATGACTGGGGATTCTAGGAAAAGTCCCTTACGTGGCCTGGTGTCCATACATCTCTTCTGGATGCCTGCAGAAAACGGGCAGGGCAGTGACATCCCATGTTTTGTGGGTTCTTCATCTCATGGCTGTTAACATGGCCACTTCCTTTGAGACAAATGGCTTGGATATTGGACAGCCATAGCCCACAGCATCTCTTTGCTTTACCTGCTATTTGACCATTGCTTGGATTTTTTCTGTAGGCCCTAACAAGCAACCTCACCCCTCATCCCCCAGCACCCTGATTTTAGCTAGCTTAGGCCTCTGTGCTCTGATGGCAAGGCAATATAAAGAAAAAAAATACAAACACACAGTCTTAACAGCTCAACAAGTGTCCATTGCACCATGCTTCTGCCATCTATGAAAACCTCACTTACAGCATTATTTTTCTGCCAAGCCAGGGCTTGCATGGACAATAGGGCCTGTGAAAGCAACACTAGTCATGCTGTGTTGAGAAGTAGGTTCTCCCTGACCCCAGTGTGACATCCCGTGTCCCTGGCCCACCACCAGCATCTATTCAGCCTGGTCACTGGGGCAGTGACACCTCCCGAGGCTCGCACTAGCAATAGGGAGTGTGGTGAGACCTACTGTGGAGTCAGTGATCAGAGGGGACCTTTGTTTTGCAGGGGTCCTCAGCATTTCAAGTTGATGCTGCATGGCTGTGATTGTTAAAAATGCTCAGGAAAAGGCTGGCTCAAGAATTTTCCTGGGATTTCAAGCTTTTCCTGCACAGTCCATGGATGAATGTCCATCCTCAGCCTCTGACCTACCTCAGTTGAGGGGTTTCACCACCTCTTGATGTTCTTTTCTAACTGGGTGTTTGCCTCCAGTGTAGCTCTCAGGACTGAGCTGAGGCCCCAGTAGGGCCCATGGAGGAAACCAGAACAAGCAGCGGATTGCTTGGAGCCTGTGCAACAAGGTCTCTTCTGCCCTGGCATGTCCAGGCAGGCTTGGTCCTCTGTGCAGCTGCACTGCAGAAATGCTGAGGTAGATTCACAGCAACATGGGGTTCCACCAAGATTCACTAGCAGGAAGGAGTCCTCTTGGCCCTCTGCTTTGGGTTGTAGGCTTGGCAGCTGCCCCTGTGTCTGTGCAGTGAGAGATCGTAAACATTGCCAGCTCCAGAGGTTTAGAGAAGAGTCCTCCCTATCTTCTCTCCTTTGCTACTGGGCTGTGCTCCTGACACCTTGCTTTCCTCTGTAGGTGCAATTCCGAGGTGAAGTATGACTCCGAGAAGCATTATCGGGATGACATCTTCTACGGCCCCATCCCCACCGTCACCACCTACAGCGAGACAGTCATTGCTGCTCCCAATTGCACCTGGCGGAACTACAAGTCCCAGCTGATCTTTGAGCCCCGCCAGAAGCCACTGAGGTTTCAGAGCACGACCATCATTTTTCCTAAGCATGCCAAGAACATTTACCGGACCACCCTCAACTACAGCTTGGGTTGTGCCAAGCGTTGGTTTGCTTCCAGCGTGCAGCTGGAACTCTGTGAGGAAACCAGCCCGTGCGTCATCTACAGTGAGACCCTCTGATCCGCCCTGTCGCTGGCAACCTTGTGACCTCAAGGAGGCTGTGGCCTTTGCTGGGTCTCTGGCTGGGCCTTCATTGATGGCGACTGAATATTAATGGCTGGAAAACACGTCGTCTTGGGTGAGGCTGAACTGGCTGGGAGGAGGCTTGCAGGGCACGGGATGGTTTTGATCAGTGAGAGGCTGGCTTGTATTTTGCAACGTTCCTGACATTCATGATCTGGATTTTATTTTTGTTTTTTTTCCAAGCATATCTATTTTTGACTTGTGTTTAGATGAAATCAAGATGACAAAGGACCCTATTACCCATAGCAGAGTGCTGCGTTGTGAGCTCTGTAGGTCTCGTCTAGCACGTAGGTGAGACTCGCTGTAACCTTCAGAGCTGTTTTGGTCTCTGTAAAGGGAAGACCAGCTGCAGAATCAGCGTCCAGCCTGACCAGCATATACCTAGCCAGGTCTCTTAGAGTTTAAGTGCAGAGGAGGCAGTTACTTGTATCAACACATCACAGCTTGCTCCAACAGCTCATCTGGGAGATAGCTGCAGTATTACACCACTGCAGTAACCTCAGGCCTCTCACTGGGAGGAGTGGGGACTGTGACCAAGAAAAAGAGGAAGAAAACAGGCGTATGGTGCTCTTGCTAGCAGCTAGATGTTTATGTACTGTAGCAGGGCACAGCACGACCAGGAGATGGGAGAAAGGCCTACCCTGACACACGGCCACCTCTTCTGTGAGCCCAGCCAGGAGTATGCAGGGGAGATTGAGGAAACTGAAGGGCTATTTTCTAAAAGTGTCCTTTCTTCCAGTGCCCTTTCTTCAAAAGTACTGTCAGACCAAGTGTGCCATGCTGTTCATTGTCTTGAACACCCAATTTACAGGGATCTTTACACCCTTGCAACCCTTTTGAGTTTCAGGGAATGGCTGTATTGCAGAGAGCAGTGTAGTACAGGAAGATGCTAGCTAGCTTCAAAGAAGCCAGTGCAGGGTTAACTCACGAGCAAGGTTCCTCACCCTCTCAGTAGTTTCCATACCTGTGGCATGGACAGCTTCACTGACTGTGGAGGAGCAGCCAAACTTTCTCAGTGTACAGCCTGAGGTATTGAAGAGCTCAAATTCATCCAGATTTCCTTAATCAGTAGCAGTTCAATGGATACTTTGCAAACAGCTGAGCTGTCTCTGCAAAAGGATCAAGAAACACTGAGGGAGCAGGAGTGACTACAGCCATCCTAAGGTAAACCACTCCCCACTCATGAATCATATCTCCCATTATCACTTCACTTTGGTAGCTCACTGAAAAGCTGCAAGAGCCTGGATTCACACAAACATATAACCTTTGAAAATGGCATGGAATTGTCTCCAAAAATCTTACCAAGAATTTTTGCATGCTGCTTAGAAGAGCCCAGACTTAGAAAATAACCACACAGCTCCAGAAATTAATTGCCAGTTTTCCCTCTTCTAAACTTTCCATTTTGTTCCTGACTTGCGAGTCTGATCGAGTTATTTCGGAACACAACTGAGCAGCCAAGTCAGAAAACCTATTAACAATGTCAACAAGACGTAGCTGATTGCCCAGAACAGCTGACGCACAAACCCAGAGAGATTAAAAAAAAATACATCTGAAAAACTTAAAAAAATAATAAAATTAAGTAGTGACTTATAAAGATACTTTTTCCATCAGTTTCAAAAGGCAATTGGTAAATGTGACCAGAACTGTGACCTTTATGAAACAGAGTTCTCTTGTTTAAAATGAAGAACCGTTTTTCCACCAGAGGTACATATAAGGTCTTTATATACAAACTTAAATCCTGACAGCTGAAGCATCATTAGTACTGAAAGATGTGTGCTATGGCAGTGGCGAACTCCATCTCTCTGTTTGGGAGTTAGGACTTGCTAGGTGGAAACCTCTCAAAGGATTTCCAAGACTTCCACCTACTGCTGAATTCTTTTCAGCAACACAGAAACAAGGATTGTACTTATTACTGGCCAAATTTTGCTGTCACTGACTGTCAGCATCAAAGCCTGGAAGAGCAACATCTGCTTCCAAAGGGATTATTATATGCCTGAAGCAACCCTTCTCCCCAGGGCTCCAGCACACGTGAGTGCTGTGGGGTTAGCGCAGGCAGCAGGGCAGTTGAAGCTGAGATGAATGTGGGCCCAGCGCAATGCAAGTTGGTGAAGCACTTACTTGCTAGCTCACCTCGAGGTCCCTCCCGTTTATCCAAGTGCTGGGGAGCGAGCCTTGTGAGCCGTGGAAATACTCATCTGCCTTCCTGGGTCCACTGTGGAGGCTCTGGAGGGCTCTTTCCGTGTACCCATGAGAGTCTGTAGCAAAGGGGGTGGGTTTCCAAGCTGAGCAACAGCGTAATCCGGGTTCAAAAGCAGGGCTGATACTCATGCCCAGGAGATCCCTGCATGGTGACAGATCAGATTGCAGACACCTCTACTGAGCAAGCATGGAGACAGGCTGACTCCAAGCCAAAGGGATGCCAGAGACCCCCTATTTTGACCATACATCAGGCTTTTCTCCTGTTAACAGCTGGATTATTCCCTTGCTGCAAGCACAAAGCTGCAGTTTTTGATCACACTGGTCTTTGAGCAGGTCAGGTTTTCCCTGGGAAATCATTTTATCATGGCCAGCTGCAGGCTTCTACCCACTTTGCCTGCTGTTAGTTCTGCTTCCTAAACGCTGGCTGCAACAGAAAATTAGAATTTGAAGAAAGCCAAAAAAACAGTGTGCAAATAGAAATCCAGTGAAGAGACCTGAACCACAGCCTGGTCTTTCACTATGCAAGGATGGAGGCTGCTAAGGCAAAGTCTCACAGGTGGATGTGACCCCCAGGAGGGTGCAATTGGGGGCTGTGTCTGTGGCACTGGAGGGTCCCCACATGTCCAGGCCAGGCCTCTTTGAAACTTCATGCTTTGTTTTCTCTGCAAATAGACTAGAAATGACCTATCATACTCCTACTCCTTTGAGCTTAAGCAGCTTTTCTGGTTTTGCCATTTTGCCATGTCAGGACAAAAAAAGACAGCAGCTTGGGTTTCTTGGCTGCTGAACATACTTTGAGCTGTGTAGCCATGGACAGGCCATGGTGGGCTGCCACCCTGGACCACATCCAAGCTGTGACATTGCCAAGTGCCTGAGCTCTGTAGAAATTTTGAAAATTACCTTCTTATCTGGTGTCTCCCATGGGCCCATCACAAGCTGCTTTTCTTCTCAGTGAACGCTGGCATTGGGAAGGGACTTTGTTTTTCCTGAGGACAAGAAAACCAGAGAGGGTCAGCTCTTCATCCTTGCCTGGGCACAGATCCCCCCCTGCCCACCCACCCCCCGTCCCTATTGCTCCTATCCCTGTGGCTGGGTTGGATGGTGGTAGAAGAGCCGAAGTTTGTCTTGCCCATGACTGAGAAAAGTGATGATTTTTTTTTTGTTTTGCTTAAACACCAGAAACTGAATTTTGTGTGTGTGTTGCCAATTAAGAATCACTCCGAGCAGCCAAAAAACACCTTACCTGTATTACTTTTGTACATCTAAAAGGAACAATTAGTCCCACTAAAAAGGTGGGTTTCTTTTAAATGGAGCATTATTAATCTCAACCAACAGATCTTTGTTCACGTATATTGTCTCAAAGATATAAATGATAAATTCAGGCCATGGAAATGCTGCTTGGAAAGGTGAGTTTCCTTGAGCAGTTGGGACCGTGGTTACACAACTTCTCCCCAGGATCCTAACATGCCTCTTGCCCACAGTTCTGTAAGCCTGGTGGGTAAAGTCAGACACTGCCTTTAGGAATTATTTTCTGTCAATAGTTATTTTTGAGATCAGAAACTTTGCCAGAAGGCATCTGTTTCTTTGGGGGTGAAGGTTGTTTTTTTCAATATGGAAAGTCACTGTCTGAAAGGTGTGGGGTTTGCCCTTCATCCCCATCATTCCTGTGTTCGTTTTGCCCCTGAATGCAACAGAACGTGCTTCTGTCTGGTCTGCCTGCATTGCTGTCATTGAATTTGGGGCCAAAAAGAAGGAACCCTGAATAATATTGAACTTTCAGAATCTGCGGAATACTTTGCACAAACTGCAGAGAACAACTTTGACCAAAACAGTTTACTGCTTCTTTTGTCTCTATTTTTTTTTTTTTTTCTTAGCCAGCTCTGCTTTTCTCAATGTGAAATACAGACAGATTCGCACCCTAGGTGCGTACTTTCTGGGAATGAGGAAATGAGGTTTGGGTGTTGATAGCAGTGTTTGAGTGAGCTGCTGGTCAGAGAAGTGAATGCTATTTACTATTTATGTTGAGTGTGTCTTAAAAATAAAGGGAAAGGTCACTAGAAGGTTAATGAGCAAAAGACTTTGTAGATCAAACTGAAGACTAAAGGCTGTGTGAATCTGATCTAGAGGTGAATGGTTCTGTGTGTGAACACTGTGTGCTAGGATATTTAGCCATTATAGTTTTAAGCTGCCTTTTTTTCCTGTAGGGAAGGGCATCCTTGCCTTCATTAGACCTGAAACAAAAATCAGATCCATCCTCTGTCACAGTCATTTAGTCCCACTGAAGTCTGTGAGCATCAGCATTCCCCAGGCTCGCTGGGGACTGTGTGTATCAAGCACACATGCACAGAGCTGTGCCTCTGTGGAGATGGGGGAACACTTCATAGGGAATGATGGATCTTGTTGTGGGATACTACAATTTCCACTGGCAGTTAAACTGTGCTCCCTGAGGATCACCCCATCACTCACAAATTGATCTGTTCTGAGCATCTCCACTAAAGCTCTCCTATAACCATTGTATTTGATAAGTCTTGGGAGGCACTAATACTTTTTCAGATACTGTGATGGCCATCAGAATGAGCAAAGTATCCTACCATGTGAATCGTGACCTGAAGATGGGGTTGAAAGGTGTTTGAAGGTTAGAGGGGGAAGAAGAGAACATATAACTGGTGGAAATGCATAAGGATGTGTCATATTTTTATTTTTGTAAGTCTGATTCTCTAAGTGCTTGTAAAGTACTTTACTGTTGTATATGTGGTGATGCCGTAGTTCACAATATCCTTTTATTTTTGTATATTCCCCCCTCCACAATAATCCCTTTCTGTTCAACTCATAGAGAGTAATTTAAGAAGACAAAATTTATATATCATAATAAAATGCTCAAACTGTCATGCTGATGTATCTGGAGTTTCTTTCCTCTTCCTTATCCATTTACTTGGTGCTTAATGCCCCTTTACTGTCCCATACTGAGGGAATGTTTCTGGTGTGTCCTTCCCTTGCCCGTGGATTTCAGCCCAGCTCCCCATGGTCGGGAGGCTGCGGTCTCAGCCAGCCAGTGCTGTGATGTGTAAAACCTGCTCTGTCACCCAGGCCCAGGGAAAGTTGAAATAGCAGAGGGCACAAAACTCATGGTTCCTGCAGAGGCAGTTCTACCTTTCAGGATTTCACTGGTTGACAGTTTTACCATTCCTTCACTCTAAATTTCCCTCTCACTGCTCAACCTTTTTCTACCCAGCTATGAAGCCCTGGTGTTCAATCTAGATAATTCCTCTCGTAGGTATTCCATGGCTTTCAAGGGCAGGAAGAACTGATATAATGCTTATTTCATGTCCAGGTATCCACATCCTAGTACAGTATTGGGACCCCTGCTACATCCTGGCTCTCCGATCATGAAGGCAGATGGGTTGCATCAGGGCTAAAACCCTGCCTAGCCATGAGGTGCACTTTAAAGCCATTGCTGTAAATGCCTCAGGCTTGCCAGCCAGCTATTAGTAGAGTGTTCAGCTGTCTTCCAAGACCTAAGATGTCTGCAGGGAGAATCTGACACTAATCCTTATGGAAAAATCATATTGGATTTATGGGGATGAAGTCAATAGGCTTGGATGAAAACAGCTGTTAAACTCTAAGGAATGGAAAGGAGAGCCCTGTTACGCAAGAGGCTTGCTTCAGGTGCACGGGAAGTACCCGTGTCCTCATCCCAAGCTTTTTGACATAGATCATGGCTGAACTACTCCTAGGATGAAGGATGGGAGGCACACTCATGCTCAAGCACCTGAGGAAACACAACGTGAAGTCAGGGGATGTACAGACTGGGCAAGTTCAATGGTTGAAACCCAAATACCAGATGAAGGACATGTGCATCCACTCCTGTTATTTAAATAAAACCATAAAATATGAATGCCGTCCAATGAAGATTCCTGAGGTGGCAGCTAAATCCTCAGCAGAAAAAGCAGTATTAGATGCAGGATATGTGTTTTGGCAAGTGCGCTCAGATGAGCTAACCCCTAAGCTAGTGGCTTTTACTGTGCCATTTGGATGTTGTAAATTTAAGCAGATGATGCTTGGTATTAGATTTGCTCCTGGGATATTTCAGAGAGTAATTGCACATATCTCTCAAGGATTACAAGGTGCTGAAGTTATAATGGATGGACTTTGAATTTAGACTAGATGCCTTTATGAACAGAAGGAAAGGTTTAGGCTGGTTTTACAGACAGCAAAAATGCTGTGTGTAAAATGCCAAAAGCCTTACCTAAAAGAAGTTGCTGATAATGGGCAGCTACAAATTAAATAATAATAAAACCCCACATGCTGGGATCCCCATTCCACTCAGCAAAGCAAAGCTGTAAGGGAACAACAGATGCCTTTACCAAATTTCATTCCACAACTATGTACAGTCAACAAACAACAGAGGGATTTACCAGAGAAAGAACCTTACCTGATACTGGCGCTGTAAAAACTTCCCCCTGCTGCCAAGCCATCAGATTGAAACTACCACGCGTGAGACCTTGGGCTTGATCTCTGCTCCTTATGCTCAGCAGATGGCAATGTCACAGCCTGGACCTGCAGAAGTGGCTTCGGAAGACCTAGGCAATGCCAAGCAGCAGGGAAGTTGTAGTGTCCTCAAAAATGTCACGAATCTGTGCCCATGTGAGGGAACTACCAGCAGCATGCCTGGACTGATGCGCATCATGGCCATCTGCAGGAACTGCATCTCCTCTGGCGCAGGACACTGAGCTGCCACTTCGCCCACCTCTGTGCAGAGCAGACATGGGTTGGGAGGCTGTCACAGCAGACATGCCTCAAGGTGCCTCTGTCTCCAGAGCAGCTGACCCTGTGTCTCCACAACCACCTCCTGGAGCGACCAACCCAGGATGACCGACCCCACCTGAGATGCTCTAGGTGCAGCTCTGCGACCTCCTCTTGCCCGGTGATGCAGGTTTGGTGCCCTCAGGAGGCACCTTGGCTTCAGCAGTTGAGACCCCAGGGTGGCTGCAGGGACCTGTGCATGCTTGGGCTGGTGGTGGGATGGTGGCTTCCCTGGCTGGCACTTCCAACTGCCCTCTGCAGTACCTGCTCAGCCATGCTAAGGAGTGTATCTAGGGCTGATTTTCAGCCCATTGCTTGGGGGGAGGGATTCCTACTGCAGACGTAGCTTTTGTGGTTACCCTGTGGCCTGGCAGGAACGTGGCTTGGCCATGTGGGTTTGCTGCCACGTTAACCATCCCCAGTTCTCCTACCTGTTTCTGAATCCCCTGGTCTGGTCACACAGGAGAGGAGAAAGGACCTGTCCCGGGGCTGCACAGCTTCTGCTGAAGCTTCGAGTCCCCTTCACCTGGTGATGTGACCGGCCACACTGGGAAATTAATGCAGGAATGGCTTGTTCACGAGTAGGATAAAGGGTCCTGGAATTGCTTTTTTGGGGCGTAAGAAGGGAGTTTTATGAGCCTTATTATCTGCTTCTAATAATGATATTGGATCTAAACAGTTCCACGCCTCAGAGTCCAAGACAGACGGGGAGTTCACATCAACGAAGATGCAACTGCTCATCCTGCCAAGCCTTTGATTCTCATCGTATCCTTCCTACCCTGCAAACAGGCGGATAGCACATTTCTAGCATAAAAATATCCTCCTCTTCAGCTAACCACCTCCAGATTCCCTTCCTGAGCCTGTTCTGAGCCCGCTGATTAGATATTTCTATATACATAAACATTCAAATCATCTCCCAGGGGCTCTTCCTGTCTCACAAGCAAATCCTGAGACCAGCGGCTATTTGAAGCTCCTTGAAATACAAATGGGGTCGAGGCTCCTTCCAAGCTGACTGCTGCAGTCAGGGCCCTCTATGTACCTCTCCAGAGCACCTGCCTTGGCACCCTGGCCATGCAGCCTCCCATCACGAGCTACCAAGACGCCCATCACCTCCTGCGTTGGAGAGCAAACTGCTCCAAACACCCCGTGTGTGGCTGCGGGTGATGTTGCCAAGGGGCTCCATGGACCAGGAAACCTGCATCAGCACCGGGCTGTGCCGTGGGGGTGCGTGGGGATATGCCCACTCGCAGTGGGAGGGTGCAAATACACGCCAAGTGCAAAGCAGTGGAGCAGTGAGCCACACACACACACGATGCAAACTGTATTCTCTTTGATGGAGTATTGTAGAAACATTACCTTCCCCTGGGGCTTTGCAGTGAAATAACCTGATTATTCATAAACCAGCTAGAACCATCACTCCCTCATTTATCATTTTCAACATAAGTAACAAGGGCAAGAGAGGAACATGCCAGCAATAAACTAGTTATAGATGTACTGTTGAAATCTGCCCATTTCCTTTAAATATGCCCCACTTACTGATAACAAACAGTGATCCAGGCGATTCCTAGTGAGTCCTCAGGTGTTGGATCACAAAGGACAAGCCAACACCCTGCGTTTTGCTAGTGAAAGTCCATTTGGTGCTTACGTGGGAGGCCAGCTAGGAAAACGCAAATATGTTAAAAAACCACATTTGTCTTGCTGACAAATGCCTCAGGAAATGAAAGCCTTTGTCTTCTTCTTTGACCACTTCCACTCGCAGATGGGTTTTTGCTGTGCTTCCGGCAGGGTGGTGTTTTTTTTTAGTGCCTGCACTTCCAGGGCACTCATTTTGGCTGCTGAAGAGCACGGCTCGGCCGCCCAACACAGGGGATGGGTTCAAGCACGGGCATCCCCAGTGCCTGTGACTGCTGGTGCACATCAGGTTATGGACCTACCAACCTGTTGTGGCCAAGTAGGGTGGCCTTGGAGGTGCAGAGCTGGAGTTTCAGCTTCAGGTCCAGCTTCTAGTGAGGCATTATGGGATGGCAGCATCTTAGAGCCTCCTTGGCTGGTTGAGCGCGGGCTTTTCCCTGGAATATAGATTGAACCAGAGGAGATAGCACCCAGAGCCACGCAGATCCCTAAGTAGGATCCAGGAGAGGAGTTGAGCATTCTTACAGCTCCAGCCTGAGCCTGTTATCAAAGTGAAGTGAAGGTGGAGTGGAGCAGGGAACAGCGGAGCAGGGCTTGAGGCTTGGGGTACCTTGCTAAGCACGGCACTGCTCTGCCTCCGGGTCTGCCCTTGAACTTTGCAGCTTGGGCCCTTTCCGAGTCCTCTGGGACCCGTAAACATTTTGGCAGCTCCAGCCCTCTGTGCGAGCCCCAGCTGTAGCTGAAGCGCACTCTTAACGAGCCACGTGTTTCAAAAGCCTCCAGGCTTGGCACCAGATTGCGGGGACCCGTTGGAACCCAGCTCCATTAGCCAGCCGTGCTGCGCTGTGCCGCGGCCCAGCAGAACCAGCTGCAAAGTGCCCAGCTCAGAACTTTCTGGAAAAGCTTTATTTGCAGAGGAGCAGCTGATCTGGGGGAAAGTCCTGTTGCCCTCCCCCACCCAGCCCCTCCCCTGCTGCTCACCCCTCCAAAGGTCTCTCCTCTATATGCACTCAGAAAGGGGGAATTAAAAAAAAAAAAAAAAAAAAAAATCACATATATTTTTAAACAATGCCTAATGGTGAAAAATAACATCTGGAGAGCAGCCTTGCCCCTTACACAGAGTCCTCCATCTCCACATCTCAATACAAAACCCAACAGGAAAATGGTCCAGAAGGGGCCCGTCAGCTCCGTGATGGGAATGACTCTCCCTGCAGGTGCCATCAGCCTGGGGACAGCAGCCACTCACCAGGGGACAGCAGGTACCCAAGAGCCCTGGAAAAGCAGGTGGTTGGCTGGCTAAAACCATATTCACTGTTGGGAGATTTCTGGAGAACGAAGGGAAGAGGTGACCCCTCGCCTGTGTCTGTGCCTCCCATGCTGGCCCATCTCCCCCGGACTCCAGGAAATAGGGGCGCAGGAGAAACTCTGCTTCCTTCGAGCCTGTTTCCAGAGA